TACTTTTCTAATTAGTTTTTGAGATGTGGTTCTGTACTTTTATTATTAAAAAGATTGTTGTTTAGGTTGTTTTCTTTATCAGCTGCCCAAAGACTCAGTTTATTACCAAGGCCTCAGGTCATTTGGGCAGCAGGTGTTTGGTTTACATTTTAGGACTGAGAGTTCTCAGAAATGCACAGCAGGGCCGATCACAGTTYGTGGCAGTGATGGCTGCCACCGGAAGGGGCTGCCACATGGTGCCAGAGGCTACTAGACCATCTTCCACAGTGGCTGCTGCTGTTTTGGGGGAAGCCCATGCCAATGTTCGCCATAACAAGTTATCATAGTTATTAGATAGCCTTTTATTCAAAAAACGACTTTTTGATAATGTTGTCATTATTTAAAGGGGCAATATCATGTAAAAATCAACTTTTTTGAGTTTTATATCATGCTATAATGTTACACTCTCATAAAAAAAACATGCCCAAAGCCTTGCTTTGACTCATTCATGTATGTTTGAAAAATCCTGCAGCGTTTTTAGGAAGCCATGCTGAGGAGCAAAACGACAGGTGGGGACCAGAAACGCCCCTTGGACGTGTTTTTAAGCCGAACTTTCTCATGGCAGAGCTCACCCCCTCCCCCATCACTCCTTCCCCACACACCCCGCCCATGACTCCTGCAGGCTCTGGGTGAAACTGAAAGTGAAACCTAACTGTCTGCTGAGCTCTCAACATTAGTTCTCACTCAGTGAAGCTCTTTTCAGATTNTATTACTAATTTTAAACATTTCACGTTAATCAACTAACATTAAATTCATTGACTGAAATAAACCTCGCCAGCTGAAACAAATTTTGTGAGCACTTTTCATCAACTGGGTGTTTTTCGTGAGCAGATAAGTTTTGAACAAAGTTCATGCATGTTTGTGAGTTTAATTCTTGGCTGCTCTCCATCCAGACAGATAAAGTGGTTTAACCAACAGTGGAAACCTGTTTCTAGAACAAATAAGTCTAAAAATTTGATTTATTGATTTTATCTGCCATTTCATTTTAAACAGGAATGCGATGAACTGCAGAGACATGTAAACTAGCATTAGTCACACTTTTGCTTTGTTTATGCTTCAGAATAACTGTGAAACTGGGAATTCGAGATCACGGGTATAGCAGCAATTTGTTAAACACAATTTTCAACCATTTAATTCATTTATTCATTTAGCTTAGCTTGACCCAAGAGAATGTCCCAGTGTTGTGGAAGACATCCTGGTTCCCGTACCAAAGAAAATTCACCCATCAGCCCTCAATGACTATAGACCTCTATAGGTCTGAGACTCCTATTGGCCCAACTGAGTAAGCAAACAAGCACACATCAGGACCCCCTGCAGTTTGCTTATCGCCCTGGAGTTGGAATTTAAGACGCCATTATACACCTGCTTCAACAACCCCACCATCATCTGGACAAAGCAGGCAGCATTTCTCACGAACAATCGCCTGGATCAAAAACTACCTGACAAACAGAGCACAGTTTGTGAGACTGAAAGACTGTGTGTGTCTAACCGGGTGGTCAGCAGCACAGGAGCACCACAGGGGACTGTGCTCTCACCATTTCTTTTCACAATGTACACCTCAGACTTCCAGTACAAGTCAGACTGCTGTCATCTACAGAAATACTCAGATGACTGCACAGTTGTTGGGTGAATCAGAGATGGACAGGAAGATGAGGACAGAGAGCAGGTGGACCGCTTTGTGGCATGGTGTGGGGACAATCATCTCATCTTGAACTCAACTTACCAAATTTCCCTCTGGGATCAATAAAGTATTTTTTTTTTAATTGAATTGAATTGAATGTGAACAAAACAAAGAAGATTGTAGATTTCAGGAGAAAGAGTGTTTAATCAAACCTTATTTCGATGGTTGAAGAATATAAATACTCCGGTGTTCATCTGGACAACAGACTGGAGACTCAACAGTGAAGCAGTCTACAAGATAAGACGGAGCTGACTCTTGAGGAAGCTAAGATCCTTCAATGTCTGCAGCAAGATGCTGCAAATCTTTATAAGTCTGTTGTTGAGAGCRTCATCTCTTCTGCCTTCATTGTTGGGGCAGCAGCATCAGAGCCAGGGACCTAAAAAGGCTAAACAACCTGATAAAGAAGGGTGGTTCTGTTCTGTTCTGGGGATGACCTCTGGAAATGAAGGATTTTACATAAMATCAAGAACATTGTGGACAACCYTGACCATCCCCTTCATTAGACTGTCATAGAAAAATTAGGCTTCTTCAATCTTGTTGTAATACAGACCACTACAAAAGATCTTTCCAGCCCACAGCCATCACCACAACAAGTCTTTAGTTAAATGAGTTACTACATCTAATTTCCCTCTGGGATCAATAAAGTATTTTTGAATTCAATCGAATTTTTAGCAGTATTTGCTTTTTTAAAATATAATACCGCATGTGCACTTTTGAAAATCTCTCTGCAACTCTGCAGAACTGGACAGTGAATACTGAAATAAAAAATGGCTTATGCCTTTACAAATGTATGATTAAAACAATACATGCATAAGTCAGCTACAAGTCAATGTTTAATAGAATTGTTTACCAAAAGAACACCTCGCCATGAAAGTAGGATTCCTTGAWGGAGTGCATATTGGCCACTGTCTTGTATGGCAAAGTTTTAAAGTTTAAAAATTTCACACAATCTGTTAGCACTCAGAGAATGTAATGGGGATTACTCTCAGCTACTGCACCAAACTAGCTCAATATCTGCAAGGTTCATGAAACTACACACATTTTTGTGTTCGCAAAGTTTGATTAGCTGTGAAGGCCATCTTGAAACAGTTGGACTCCAATAGGTAATCAGTTGTGGATGTGAAGAATTAATAATTACCAATAATTACCCAATGCATGCTTCATTCAAATACATTTATTGGTTAATTGTATATTTTTGCTAACATTAAAACAGGGTGGGCACTGTTATTGCAAGTACTAAGTAAAAGTCTAATTATCTTCTAACTTCAGCAATAGCCACACAAAATATTAGCTTCATATCAGTAAAATGATTGATTTTTGTAAATTGCATGTTATACAAATATGATTGCTGTTAACGTTTTCTCTTGCAGGGAGCCCTTTTCTCCCACGTTCTTTAACATTCATTGAACGCATCACTGTAGGTGTCCGCTCAGCTGCCTGAAGAAAAATACAACATATAAAAACCTACGGTATTACAAATACCCTCTCATTTGCGAAGTTTTTCATATTGTGTGTTGAGTTTTAATTGCTTGTTTCGGGTTAAATTCCGTTAGCAGTCCATCAGTAATGGAGTGCCGTGTGTTGTCCATTCAGAGTCATGTTGTCAGGGGATATGTCGGGAACAAGTCGGCAACATTTCCCCTGCAGGTGAGTACATTCTGTCTTCAGGTTGCTGTTTTTAATATTGTTTAAGAAAATGACAGACAATCGTTGAAAAGTTCGCTTCTGGACGCGAGTTCCTTCTTCGTTTTCAAAATAATTTCAGGTTGCATCACATAATTTCTTCTGTGACTGAACATAGCAGTCCATTGACTCTCATCAAATACAGTTAAACCAGTATGTTTAATCCCAGAGTTGTATAGTAACTATTACCATTTACTCATTTGTTACTGCCTTTTTTGTTTTGTGGGGGTAAGTTTGTAATTTTAACATTATATCTAATTGTCTAATATATATATATATATATGAAAATATGTCAACTTATTCCTTTAATTGTGTGAATGCTATCAATGCAACTCATTGTTTTCCTTTTTGCAACCTAACTCCTTCTGCAGACTTGTTTTTTTTTAGCCATTCACTTATGTAAAGCTTTACACTTTTTAAATAATTTAACTTTAATTACAAACATTTTCTTATCCAAATACAACAAAATCTCTTCAATTTTCCTTAAAAACATGTCCCTTTGAAAACTTGCAACAATTTGTTTTCTTATGACACTTAATGTTGCTATTTTTCTGCCACTTTTAAATGTTCTGCTATTTTTAGCTAGCCTTTAGCTACTTTTAACTTTTAGCTACCCTTTGCTACTTTGAACTTCACCCAACTTTTTGATACAATTAGCAAGGGTTTTGCCAAATTTTGGCTAACCCTTTTTTGTACTTTTAGCTTTACCCAGTCTTTGGATAATATAGGRCAGAGGAGCCCAAAGTGCGGCCTGCGGGCCAAGTTTGGCCCGCCAAGCCATTTGATTTGGCCCACCAACAGTTGCCAAAGTTACAAGGTTGTAACCTATTATCCAATGTATATACACAGTATTTCCATTGGTCAAATGACTATATAAAAGGGCTGTATACATATATAAAAGGTAGTGAAGGTAGTTTTCATTCATTGTGCTGACTTTATCTTTGATTTTTTTAGGATTAAACGTGAAACATGAAATGACAAGAAATATTTTGTTCAGATTTGACCACACATGTAGATTTGCACACTTTATAAGACCACAAAAACTCATATTTTATCAATTTATGAAAAGTCCCATGAGCCTTTCCTACTTGAACGTATGGCAGACTTAGGTGCACAGACTCAAACAAAAGAGGGCCATTGCACAGCTTAATCGTTAAAAATAAGGGACTTTACTTTAAAAAGTATTTGCATTTCATGTATTATATTACTGTATTTGGCCCGCTGCCCTGGATAGATTTTCATTTTGGCCCCCTCGGGGAAATGTTTGGGCACCCCTGCTATAGGGTTTATAGTTTTAACTAAACTTTTTCTACTTTTAGTTTCTAKCTATATTTCTGCAACTTCTACCTTTCAGCTAGTCCATTGCTATCTTTAGGTTTTAGCTAAAATTTTACTAGTATTTGTCACGCTTGACTAATAGCATTTGGCTTTAGCTCTAAAGGTAGTGTTTAGCTATTTTTAGTTGTCAGCTAATGATCTGTTCAATAACTAAATGACATCAAAGCGTTCAGCACTCAGCATTCACACTATTTTCACAGATGATGCAATGTCTCTGGTTTCCATCCTGTTTGTTTTAGAAACCTGACACACAGGGAAACAAAAAAACATTACCTCTTTGGAAAAGAAAACATGCAAGAACCTGCAAAGCGACTCATTACTTATGACTTATACTTCTCATGTCATTAATGGCTGTTTATAATAGCGGCACACCTTTTAGATGAATAATATTTTAACAATTGAGCAACGTAATCAGACACAAGTAAAAGTCAAGGATTTTTACACATTCCAGCATCTCAGTAGGAAAAAAAATCCTGCTTTCCTTTCCCACTTATAAGGATAAATAYAAAAAGTTGTTCATCCGACTACAAAGTGATGTAAATGTTTGTTTTTTGATCAGCTGAAATCTTCTTTTATTTCAACATTTTCACTTTTTCTGTATCGCTGTACAGTTCCTCCAGCCTGGGAAGTTTTCCTGGCTAACTTAAGCAAACCTTGAGGTATTTAGAGGGGCTGAAAAGAAATTCAGCCCCTTTGGGTGCCAGGGTGAACATCCAACAGGGTTTCTATCCATCACTTCTTGGAAATGTTTGCCTGCTTATGAAGAAAATGTAAGTTAGAGACTCCAGTGCGTCAGTGGTCATACAGTCAGTCCTGTCTGGRGCAGAAAACAGCATCTTATGGGAATAAGGTGAGGAAAAAGTAAAGAAAAAATGAGAATATTAAGTGCAGTTGTGAGGATTCAGACACTGTTACTTTAAAATATCCTAAATGYAACCTGACACTTCACACGTGTTTTATTTGTAGGGACTTAATTGATTAATTAAGTCATAATTTCATGTATAAAAGTGTAATTATAACTTTATTACAGTCACTCGTTCATAAATTTTGGCTCAGACGCCCAGAATTTACCTGAAAACTTTCTTTGGAGCACTAGGCTGGACTTGTTTGTACGGGACTATTCTGGGTTGAAAATCCTCCCCGGACTCCGCATCGTTCACAGCCGAGACCGAGTTGGGTTTTCGGGCTCCCTTGAGCAGTCCATCCTGACCCGAAGTCACATCCTCGCCCTCCCTGGTGCCCTCGAGAGGACATGCTTCTTCCGTCCAGCTAACGCTCAGCAAACTMAGCGTGAACCCCAGCGAAATGCCGATTACCACCGGGCCGAGCGACCGCAGGACAGAAATAAACACAGAAAATCTCATTTTAAGCGTCGGGCTCTATATCCCCGGTCGGATTCGTCCCGCTTCGGTCGCTCCTCCTGTGAGGCGCTCAAACGGGCTTCCGGAACAGCTCAGCTACTCATCAAGTCTGAAGTGAGGTAGGTGATGATCCAAAAAAAAAAAAAAATTGTCTGTATAGAAAAAAGATGCAGCTTCTTCCTTAAATTTCACGCAGGACTGTTACGTGTCAGTCTGGCCGCTACCTGGCTCCTCCCCCCGCCTGCTGTCAGCATCCGAGGCGGAGCTTTCTTGGGTCCGCTGCTTAGGGCGGAGGGATATCCGGCGAGGAGAGCGAATGGTAAGGTGACTGCCTGCGCTCCAGGTGGTGATCCGCCCCCTTTAAACTTCTACAAAAATGGATTAACAAGGTTTTGTCCTCATTTCTGAACATTTTCGGCAATTAACACCATTAAAAACTAAAAAAGGCACACCTTACCTTACTTTATTTTGGATTTTTAATATTTAACCTACAGTATATGCTCATAGACGCACAATTTAACTTATTTCAACTAACTTTTATCACTTTTATCAAATGTAATAGACTTATCATATATGCATTTGTGTTTTCTTTATATCCAAGATAAACATGAAATRTAGATTAAAGTAAACTAATATTTTTATGATATAATTGTTGGTTTAAACACATCTGTTGTAAACTTATGCCAAGTTTACATWAAGTTTGTTCAAAATGTCTCCATCTCCCATCTTTTTGGTTTTACTTCTTTAATAAACCTGTATGACTAAGTACATATCAACAATTTTAAAAGACTTAATTGTTTGGTGTTATGAGATAATCCTTTTAAATGCAAGGGAATTCTTCTTTTACTGCATTTTTATTCTAAAGTTGTCTTGTGATTTTAATATTTACTTATAAATGTAAAGATTATTTTGTGATACTGTTTTTTACAGTTTATTTTTCAGGGGTCTTTTACAAATGACTGTTTGAACAATTTGCATGTTTACCCACAAACATGAGAGGATTTTATTGAGTAAACACAAATGTTTAGTAGTAAATACTCCAGACTCTTTACCACTGCAACTAAGTCATAGCTGTAATAACCCTTAAATAACTGACAGGGATTATTACTGTGAGCCACCGTCACAACACAATCCTTCAATCCTCTTCAATTGTGATGCACAGCTCAATAAAAACTGCTTCATTTAGGTTTTTATTCTTTTTATGGCTTATTAGAAAATTTACAATTAACACAGTCTTGTATTATAAAAGAATGTTTGCAATTTACAACACAATTCTTTCTCCTTTTCTCATAGCTTATTTAAAGTATTCAACCGGACTTAATACCAAAAAGACGTAAAGACTTGACGATTATTAGTTTGGGAAATTAGATTTTCAGTAAAAATGCAGTGTGTGCACTGAGGGCTTGCTTATTTAATTTTGCTGAATTTTTTAAAACTGAGTTGTTAAAGTTTAACAAAGCAGAATAGTAGCTAAAAGCTAAAGAAAAACAATGTAATAAACGTTAAAAGTCAAAAGAAGGTAGAAGCTGAAAGTAGCAGAATTTTAAATAAAACCTAAAAGAAGAAAAAATGTTAGCTGATGGCAGCAATAACAGCTAAAGGTAGCAAACATGTAGCTAAACTGATAATAGTAGCAAAAAGTCAATTAATTTTTTTAAAACAGCCAGAAGCTAAAAATAGCTTAAAGTTAACAAAAAGCTAAAAGTAGCTTCAAGTAAGTGAAGGACAAGGTAAAATCTAAAAGTAGCTTAAAGAAACAGTGGACAAATAATGGTTAAACGTAGCACAAGACTGGCTAAAAGCTAAAATCAGCAGAATAGCAAATTTTGTTTTACCATGTACAATTACAAAGTCTTTCTGATGTATTTTATTCTACTGTAGTTTCTGTACACTATAACAAAAGCTGAAAGTAGCAGAGTGCTCACTAAGAGAAATGGTTGCTAAATGTTGCTGCCGTGCACAGTGGTAAAGCTTATTTTCCAGTTTTAAATGCTAAAAAGGTGAAGAGGTAGCTTAAAGCTAAAAGTTGTTTCAGAAGACAATAGCAAATTTTCTGAAGATTTCAAAAAAGAAAAAATTTTTAAACTTAAAATGAAATGAATGCATTCTAAATATTAGTGAATAAATTAAAAGCGTAAAAGATACCAAAAAATCCCGAAGTCCTTGCACCTATTGTCTGAATGAGCTGATCATTTGGATGAAGGAATGACTAAAATAACACAACGTATGCAGAATTAATTGAAGAGCTAAAAAAACGTACAGAATGATTAAAAGGAAAACAGGATGTGATGTGAACGCTGAATCAGCGATCAAGTGTGAACGCTGAATCAGCGTTCACACACTTAGCCAGTGTGAAAGCAGGCCCTCAGTGGGTCTCAGAAGTTTTTAGTGTGTTTTTTTAGTGTGCAGCTGTCCCTGTGGGAACGTTTCTGATGATTAGCTTTCTGCTCATCCACCTGGTTTGGGCACTTTTCTGTGTGGCCTCTGTGCTTCTCACCCAGGTGTCAGAGGCAGCACGCTTTGTGTTTTGTTCCGGTGACCCTTCAGCTGCATCCCTTCAAGTCCTCTTTCACCCACATTTCATACTGAGATGAGACCCCCTTTCTCTACCAGAGCAGGCCCCCCTCCTCCCCAACGCACACAAACACTGCAGCATGAGAACGGTCGTCGTCGCCTAGTTTCAGGTTAGATTACTCCTTTTTATGGCCTCTTTGTGAAGAATAAAGAGTGTTCTGGTTCTTCGAATAAGTTCAAAAGCATGACGTGTCCCATTATTATTTCTGTTGTGGTTAGATTGTGAAATGTGAGAAAGCCCTGAAGTACTTTTATTTTTTTCTGCACRCACTCGTCTTGTGAAGTCACCGGTGTGCCTGCAGTGTTTTCAGTGTTTGAATATTAAATAAAGACCTGCACAAATCCACGTTACAAAAGGAGGATCATTTGTCTCCWTTATAAAATGCACAGGTTTACTTTTCACTTCAAACTTCTTTCTTCGGTGCTCTAAGACAATTTCTTAAAGTCCTCTAAAATKCAAGTGCAGTTTCACTTTAGATGCAAATATTTAATTAAAAAAACAGTGTATCCCTGTTACATTGTGCCACCTGCTGGTAAACAATATAACAGGGTAAATCTTGCATTTTCATTTGAATTTAAAATTCAAGAATTAGAAAATAGATTTTTCCTATATTTATTACTAATTTTAAACATTTCACGTTAATCAACTAACATTAAATTCATTGACTGAAATAAACCTCGCCAGCTGAAACAAATTTTGTGAGCACTTTTCATCAACTGGGTGTTTTTCGTGAGCAGATAAGTTTTGAACAAAGTTCATGCATGTTTGTGAGTTTAATTCTTGGCTGCTCTCCATCCAGACAGATAAAGTGGTTTAACCAACAGTGGAAACCTGTTTCTAGAACAAATAAGTCTAAAAATTTGATTTATTGATTTTATCTGCCATTTCATTTTAAACAGGAATGCGATGAACTGCAGAGACATGTAAACTAGCATTAGTCACACTTTTGCTTTGTTTATGCTTCAGAATAACTGTGAAACTGGGAATTCGAGATCACGGGTATAGCAGCAATTTGTTAAACACAATTTTCAACCATTTAATTCATTTATTCATTTAGCTTAGCTTGACCCAAGAGAATGTCCCAGTGTTGTGGAAGACATCCTGGTTCCCGTACCAAAGAAAATTCACCCATCAGCCCTCAATGACTATAGACCTCTATAGGTCTGAGACTCCTATTGGCCCAACTGAGTAAGCAAACAAGCACACATCAGGACCCCCTGCAGTTTGCTTATCGCCCTGGAGTTGGAATTTAAGACGCCATTATACACCTGCTTCAACAACCCCACCATCATCTGGACAAAGCAGGCAGCATTTCTCACGAACAATCGCCTGGATCAAAAACTACCTGACAAACAGAGCACAGTTTGTGAGACTGAA